TCCCTGTAGGCAAAAACCACTCATACCTCAAAATCTGTTGAAATAAAAAAATAAAAAATACTTTCAGTATTGTGAAACCACAGTTATGGAAATATGTATCAATACACACATTTTATGTGTTAATTTGTAATAATACCAAAACTGGAAACTTTTACAAAGGCATAAAGAGACCTAGAAGTACAGAGGCAGTTATGGGTGTATTTATTTTTCCCTGGTGTTGTATTTGTTCATTAAAACTTAAAGCTCTATAGTTATATATTAAATACCATGTTGCCAAACATGTATTTTTTCCTTTAATTTCAATCACATTAAAACAAACCATTTTTTTCGGTGCTTTCTGCCTCTGTAGTTAGAATTTAAACCAGTGATAACTAGTGGACTATTTTTTCTTCCTTAAAGGACTAGGGAAAATGCAGGAAAGAAAATGTCAGTGTGGCAAAAAGTCCATGAACGTTTTGAGTCAGGATTTCGACCTTAGTAGGATGCTAACATTCCAGGCTGTTGGATCCTTTGGTTCAAGTTATTTGAACATTAAGACATTGTTACATTCATTTGCTGTCAAGGACCTTAATCTTTCATCATTCTTTATAATTTGCTATTTTTGATAGCTAATGTATTTTATTTATTAACTATCTGTACAATATTTATATCTATAATTATTAGACATTTTCCTACCATGATTAGATAACTGGGCTGTTTAAAAAAGAAACACCTCCAGAATAGCTAAAATTTTAAAGTTACTACCTACATCTGCCAAAACAGATTAGTAGCAAATTTCCAGAACAGAACAAATTGTCTTGATCTCCTTACCTAACACTTTGTTTTATGTCAAATCTTACTCCTTTCAGAGAACAAGACTTCTTGATGGAAGCTTATATTTTGACATAAAAATTTTGGGGGCTGCAAGTGTAAGGCAATTTTATCCTTATTTTTCGGGTTGAATATTGCTACATTTTTAGTTTTATGGTATTCATACAATAATAATACCACCTATTCATAATACACTTGATCTGGTCCTAACTCATGATAACTCTGTTGAACTTACTAATGAAATGAACTTGAATATTATATTTGAGAAATTAAAATCTCTTGGTTACATAAACAAGGGCTAACTTATAAAATGACATTTATATTTCAGGTTTTGTTTTCTTTATAACCATCTCCATTGTCATTGCTATAATTTATTTGGTATTTCAGATTCATTAACTCATTATGGTAACAACAAAAAAAATTGGCTAAGCAGAATTAAAATTTTAATCAATCATAACACTTAAGCATGGATGTTCTTACAGTGAAAATTTCTTTTAGAATATTCCTGAAAATTCTTTGGATTCAGGCCTGATGAAAATCAATATTTTTTTATTCACTCAGAATCATATGATGTCTAAGGTCATTATTTGTCTATGTCAGGGTGATAGAGAATGTTGGATTGAATGAAGGTGTAGTGATCACAGGACAAATGCTGGCTGTCTTGAGGCATTAAACTATGGTAGCTAAAGGTTTGAGCTTTAGAATCAGACTGCTAGGGTTCAAATTCCAACCCCACCAATTCTTAATTACATGAATTGGGGCTAATTACTGCTTCATACCTCAGTTTCCTCATCTGTAAAGTGGGTTGTCTGAAACATTTAATGTGTGAATACATATCAGATGTTTAGAACTGTGCTTAGCATATAGAAAGTACTTAAATACCTAGCTCAGAAAAATTGACCTGTCAAGTAATATATCTAATTTATTAAGAACTGTAGATAGTTGAATTTAATCCATTTTTAATAATAAAATCAATTGCAATAACACTGTTCATGGAATTCAAAATATATTTGCATTTTTACTATAAGAATTAAAAATGCTAGCAACTGGCCATTGTCTTTTCTGGGCTATTAGCAACTTTACAATACATGCACGTTTGGAAAACATTTTATATAGTTGGTAGTCCTACCTATGACTACAACAAAAGCATGAAGTTATGCTTTGTTATGATGTGTATAAAGTCAAACCAGGCACTCGCGGCTTATCTATCCTATCTAAGATTTCAAATGGAGAATACTTGTGTTTTTCCTTGAGGTTTCCTCAACTGTAGCCAAGTACGAATGACCCAGAGAGACCCTCAATGCAACCCTGTAGGATAACCATGTGGTACTTGAAGTTTAAATATTCCTGTCATCCAACACTGTTGCTCCCCGAGTAAAAAGGTCTCACGGTGTTAGTTATGCTTTTGTTAAGTGAATAGTGAATAGATCTTGGAGACTTTAACAATTCTCTTCTCCCTTTAGTGCATTGCTTTTTAATTTTATTTTATTTTTTGAGACAGAGTCTCACTCTGCCACCCAGGCTGGAGTGCAATGGCACGATCTGGGCTTACTGCAACTTCCACCTCCCAGGTTCAAGTGATTTTCCTGCCTCAGCCTCCTAAGTAGCGTGAGCCACCATGTCCGACCCCTTAGTGCATTTCTATTAAGATTTTTATTTTAGATTGAAAATGAAAGGAAGTTAATTTGTTACAAAATACTGATGTCAGACTAATTTGCTAAGCCCTTTTTGCTGATCTTTTATTTCCCTTTCCTTTATGCCATGTAAAGAAACCATGGAATATGTTTTGTTTTTCGGACATTGGTATTGTATTTTTATACCCTAGTACCTAATAGATACAGTTGATGTTCAGTAGTTATTTGTTGAATGAATTGAGCTGGTGGGACAGAAGGGCCAACCATTATTTGGCCAAATGGTGTTTGCAGAGGCCTGCAGGGCCAGTTAGGCAACATAAGAGAGCAAATTAGGGGGGTGGAAAAAGCAGTAGCGGGGCTTGTGGCGAACTGTATCTGAGGCTGGATTAAACACCAGCCAGAGCTTGTGAGCTCTGTGTGAAAGTAAAGGATTTGGCCAGAAGACTAATGAATATATTCTCCATATGAATAGTAGAAATCTTTAAAATATTCTAGACATTTCTTTTTTCCAGTTCACTGGGTGCCATGATTCATTAAATAAATAAGTAAATAAATAAATGAATATATGTGTTTATGTAAATATACATGCACACATACATATTTGCCCCCTCTATATTGATGTACACATAAAAAACCCTCTAAAAAAGTTGGCTTAACAAAGGTTGTTTGTCTGATGTTTATTTGCTACGTCTCTGTTTATTGATAATTGATAGAGCTTGCAAAATCAACTTTGTTCCAAGTTATATGCAATTTGAAGAGTTTATCATTTCTGTTAGTGACAACATGCACAACTTTACTAACTGGAACAAAAGTAAAAGTTAAATATTCTCAAGAAAGCCCTAGTTAAGTTGCACACACACACACACACACACACACACACACACACACACACACACACACACACACTTTTGTGGCATTCTTACGGGGTTGGGGGGCTTAATTGGCTCTGCCCTCTGACAGAGGTTTCTTAGAAGAAATCGAGAAAAAGCAGCTAGAAAAATATTTATGCTCTAATTGCGAGTGTGGTAGCTGGTGTCCCTCAAGTGGAATGTATATGGGCTTCAAGGCTTTTGACCAATTTCACTGGACTTTCTCAGGGTCTTCCCTCCTTTATTCCCACTGTGGGCTCAGGTATGTTTATAGGATAGTGCTCTAATTCTTGATCATCTTGCTTCTGTTTTGAGTCTTAGCATGAGCCACATATAAGAAAGTCAACCTGCCAGGACTTTTCCTTTCTTGCTACAGCTCTTGAAACTGACAACCTTGAAAACCACCTCTCTCCTAAGCCTTTCTTAATGCACTGTTAACTTTACACTACATATATTACTATTTAACGTTGACACCGCTGTCTTTTCACTTCACATCTGTTATGACGTGGCTTTTATTTCCCTTTGAGGTCAGGGACCATAACTCTTTGACGCACTGTGTTAATAAGGACTTACTAAATGGCTGTTCATAGGATGTAAAATTCACTGCGACTTTGAAGCTGAGTAAAGATAGCTTGAATCCTTTGTAAGTTCTTGGGAAAACAGACAGATTCTTTTTTACTGACAGCCTGTATCATCACCAAAATGGACCTGTCTTATAATTGACAAGACCCCTTAATAAAATGTTACAGACTAATTTGAGAAATAATCATTGGGTGGGAGAAAAGGGCATTTGCTAGAAAATCAAGTAAACTTTGTTGTCTTCTGGCATTTAATTGGAAGAATTCAGCAGAAATATTGTTAATGTTTAGATTGGTTTATGTTCCTTTTTCTAACCACTGATTCCTGCTAAAAAAAATAACTATTTGACAAACTTTTTGCAACTGTCTTTTATCTTTTTCTGGTTTACATCTGTTGCCCAGGCATTCTGGTTACATATCACACTCATACTCCTTTTGTATATTAGCATCTAATATGATGTGGAAGAACTTGTATTGTTTACTTGAAAATTGCTTGTTTATTAAGTTCTGACAGCAAGACTCTTCTACGTGAATGTTTTTGGGTCTTAAGATCAGATTTCAAAGCTGGTAGTACTTCGTGTCTCCTTAAGGGAAAGGATTTGTAAGGTATTTATTATATTCAAGCATTCTTAAGGAATTTATTTAAATGGCTGCTAATTCTGCATTAGAAGCATGCCATTGATATGTACTGAATTAAATTTAAGTATATATCACCGCAAACTATATTCTAGTCATCTTTAATTTGTTACAAGTATCTTTTAATATTTTTAAGTAAAACTCACTAATTGCAGAAATGCTTAGAGATGAGTTTAGGCTACCTATCTTTTTTTTAAATTAAATCTTAATTTTTAATCACTATAAATAAATCAGTAAACCTTTTAAAATATAAAGTTTTCTTACAATCACTTTGCATAATTGAATATCTCATTCTTCCTTAGCTAATGCTTTGTGTGGCCCGTCTTTTTGTTTCTATTTTGGCTTAGTTTATTTCATTGATCTTTTATGTAATAGACCTAAGCTGCCTTGTGTGGAAGGGAGAAGCTGCATGACTTGCTGGAAGTTTTACATGTGATGGAATTTAACCTCAGTTTATGTCTCTCCCTGCACAGTCCCTTCAGTCTGAATCTGTTCATTACTAAGGCCTTGCCACTCCAGTGAAAGCTGTTCTTCTCTTAGACACAATATCTTCATCTGGACGAGCAGTGGAGAGGGAAAGCAACTTTTTGCTGGAAGAATATCTCTGCCTTCTTACCTTAAATTAAAGAGAGCACTAAGATAACACCTTCAAGAGACTTGAAAACAGAAAGCTGGTTAATGACTACTATAAGTGCACTGAAACTATGTTTATGGAGATTTCCATACTTTTAAAGACAGTTTTAATGTTGAATTTGGTATTTTGAAAGGTTATTTTTAATGTATTTTGGTAATACAATTTACATGTACAGTGTTACATTATATATGTATTGTGAACTTTAAAAGGCTATTTTGATAAATTTATAAACATATAATATTATGTAAAAACTAGACTATATTTTGGTTTAGATTTTCCTGCTGTTTGCTACCAAAAATTTGTATTTTAAATCTACTTAGTTTTAGTATGATTTTGTCTCTAATGAATAAATAATTCCTTCTTATTAAGAAAAAGTAAGGGAGAAAGGTTTTAGAAAGTGATTTTTATGCTCCCACTATAAATACAGCAAATCAGTTCATTCTTTTGGTAAGTCAGTCCAATTTAACTGAGTTTATCAGAAGTCAGTCTAATTTAACTGAGTTTATTGGAGTTTATCTCCATTATCTCCATAATGGTGTGGGATGGCTGATTTAGGACAATTCCCTTTCCCGTTGTTTTTGTTGCTGAGCCTGTTAGAGTTAGTTTTGCATCCAAGGGGGCTTTAAGAAACTTAGCATGCAGTGGAAGATCAGAATTCACTGAATATTTCTTTTGAGAGCATGGTTTTTCTCTGTGAAATGACTCAATATTCCAAATGTTTTTCTTTCCTTCCTCCTTTCAAAAGAGTTCTTAATCCAATTAGAATATCCTGCTTTGGGTACGAGGTTGTTGTTGCCTGTCATCACCCATGGTTTGACACCAGTTTTAAGTCAATGGAGAGAAAAAACTGAAAAAGATGCTGCTAAGTAGTTCTCTGTATTAAAGGAGATATTTTTAAAACAGGGTACAACCCCCTGCTGCACATGCTAGCATATCTGGAACCTAATATGAAAATGAAAGGACCCTTATAGGTACTCACAGCCCTTTCATGTAAGTATGATCTGATATTTAGGTCTTCAGAAGCCTGTAGGTTTCATTTCTGTGAGGAATCGAGAAGCCTTACATCCTGATATCCTTCCAGGCTGCTTAAGGATGGACTGCTTTGACACTGAAAGTGCTAGTTAAACGGATTCATATGAACTGCTTTACTCCCAACCATTCAGTTATTTATAATGTATTTATTGGGGAGTACCTTGAATCTATTGTATGTACTCATCAAAACATCTTGTTCATGTTTTATGTTTTTAAAAAGGCATTTGAATGAATGTTTGACTCAGGTTTGTTAAATTAACCTTCAATAACTGCAGTACCAAAAATTACACCCAACTGCTGAAAGAAATGAATTGTATGATTTAAGAATCAAAAACTAAAATGAGTTATATATCTTTTCTAAAGTCGAAAAAGTAAAATATTTTATTATGTATTATTATAAAAAATTGGTTAATTGTATAGGAAGATGATAGTTTTCTTCAAGTTATCATAGAAAGTAATTCAGATGACATTTGAAAAGTAGGGGAAAGGGAACCATGTTGACAGTTTTAGTTCTGTGAACACTAATTTGTGTGAAGCTCTTAAAATGATTGTAAAGTTGACTACTGTAAATGTTCTATAATTATGTGTGTATATATGTCATATGTGTGTACATGTGTATGTCTTAAATTACTTTACATATGTGCATACATAGACACACCAAGAAGTGGATGTATATAATATAGAAAGTATATAGCAAAGTAATTCTACTCTGATAATAAAAATTGTTTGACATGTATTTTGTTATGAATAGTTTATCTTCCAAAAGATATTTTGGTCTATTTTAAAGTGTAGAAGAATACACTGCTAATAAATAATAAAAGTTTTATGCAATTTACTCATTTTTTGGCTTTTATAATTTGGATTTTTGAGTTATCAATGTGCTGAAGTCTCTTTATAATTTTATTTTTGTTTCAGTGTTGTTAGTGCCTTGAGTGTTTCAAGATCTCCATTACGGATTTTAGTTTATCTTTTATTGACTTTCTAGGTTGTGGCCATTGCCTGAAATACATGACAATGAACTCACAGAAACCTTATACTTTGAATTTCACAAAAGTCCTATGATGTTAGGTTCTTGCTTGCTTTCTCTTAAAATTTTTTTTTCTGTCAATAAAATGCTGATCATGATCAGTGTTTTGGGTCCTGCTTAGTCATTTATGACTACTGATAACTATTGTGTAATTGGTCATTAGTTCCTTTTGAGACAGAATGGCCATTTTTTCTTAAATGAGAAATTATAGAAATAAATCAGTTAGAACAAAACTCATACCTGTTGGATCTATGCCCTGTAAAGTCAGCTTGGGAGGAAGAAGCTACACTGTTTATTGGAGATATTTTATAGAGTAAACTGGATCCCTTTGGGTTATGATGTTTCTGAGGTTTTTTTTTTTCTTTAAACAAGTTTTTTAGAATGCAAAGGAAAGATTGTGGGTGAGAAGGTAGTTTTACATTTGGAATTGGGAATCTGCAAATAGCTGTCCTCACAACACTGCATGAAACAGTTGGGGTACCAAGGTTTTCATAGGACCACATCTTAAAGAAGGAGATTTCTTAAAATCAATGAACCTGTTTCACAGGGCACAAAGAAATCTCTCTCTCTCTCTCTCTCTCTCTCGCTCTCTCTCTTTGTACAGACTGGGTTTTTAGGAAAAAGAAAGTAAAAACACAAATCAATTGGCTGGTTTCAGCAGATTTCTGACCTATTGAGTTTACACGTTCTTTTTTAATCCTTAGATGTAAAATGATTTATAAATCTCAAAACACACCGGGGAAAACTATATATGTGATTCAAATATAGAAGGAACATGAATTTACCAACTGTACATAAATGTATTTTGAAAATTGTTTTTACTTCTATGCTTTCTTCGGTGGCATTTAAACCATTAATATGTTGAGTCTCTAATCAAACCAGTTGTTAGTATACAAGCTGACTTTATTTGTTTTATGTCATAGAAGAGGTCTGTACTCATTCTAAAAGTACCATCATAAGGCAGAGTAAATGATGCCTGCAAAATCCTTGGAATCTTCTTTGCAACACTTAGCAAAGCAAGAATTTGGTCACTGTATGTCTCCTCAGAAGATTAATTAGGGACAATTCCAATTCCAGAACGTAATTTACAGCATAAAACTCCTTTATTTACACATAGGTTGCATAGGGTTGACAACTATGGCATATAAAGGAAAGTAGAAAATAGTTGTATTAAGTTATTTTGAGCTGAATTGAAATGTTAATATATTCCCACCCAGTTCCCTCTCTATGGATGGAATTATGATAATCATATCAAGAAGGAGAAAAATAGCTTTTCTCGAGAATTTTAAACTTTTTTTGTTAAGTACAAGTAGAAACTTATATTAAAAGACTAGTTTTAATGCAAAACGTATTTGGAACAGGTTTTAAGTGGACAAACATAAATTAGCTGACCTTTTCACTCTCCATACCTCATTTTAACCTGCACACCACCAAAATCAAAGTAAATCACATCACCACTTGTGGTGTCTTCTTTGGTTCGAATCAAGTTGACCACATGTTTTTGAGAAGTTGTACTGCAAGGGAAGAATGGGGCTTGGTAATAACTGTAGAAATGACTCTACCTGCAAATATTTACATTAAAACTTCAGATTTAGGGGTGATATTATATCGAATATATAGTCATTCCTCCGTATCCATGGGGGAATAGTCCCAGGACCTCTGTGGATATCAAAATCAGAGGATGTTCATGTCCCTTATATGTTATATTGTGGCATTTGCATTTAACCTATACACATCCTCCTGTATACTTTAAATCATTTCTAGATTACTTATAATATCTATTACAATGTAATGCCATATAAATCGTTATTATATTGTTTAAGGAATATTGACAAGAAAAGTCTGTACATATTCAGTACAGTATAGATGCAATTATTTTTTTTTCCTCTGAGTATTTTTTATCCCTGGTTGCTTGAATCTATTGTGGAACCCATGGATAGGGACGGCCAACTGTATTTTATGTCTATTATGGCTCGCTTTTAAAAGGATCTGAAGTGGCTTCGTAGAACCAAGCAGGTGTATCATAGGGAGAGTAAATAGGGGCTTTGGACATGGAATTTCGAGGCAACTGACACTGGGACTTGAAGCTGAGGCTTCTCAGACATCATAAGATATTTGTCCTTTCTTTCCAGACTGGGCACATTTACGCCACACACACACTTTTAGTCAATTCCAGGACTCTTCATTGGCACTTACTTTACTCAATTATTAAGAAAGGATTATCTCCAAGTGAGATTGCCAGTCTTGATACTCAGATCCCCAAAAATAATTATGTTGAGCACATGGAAGGACAAAATTGGAATCAGAGATCAGATTACTGTAAGAATCCATCTGTCTATCTACTTGCTACTCTCCAACCAACCACCATATAACTGGGCTTTATTAGAGCTAATGTAAGTATAATATATACCTTTTTGTATTGGGGAGTTAAATAAAACTTAGAAGACACTGGGGTCCCAGAGACTTGAGAAGAAAGGAGCTGGTCTTTGTAAAAACCAAATAAAAATGAATAAAATGATGGAGAAGAGGGAGCCATTTTTTAAAGTCTAGGTTCCTTTCAGGCAGAGAGACATTTTGTTCTAAATGGAAAAAACCTAAATTGAGTACCATATTTCAAGAAGCATGCTTTATCAACTCTGGAAAGATATAACCAGTTAGCTTTTCAAGCAACTTGGGGTTGTAAAGTAATGTAGCATCTGCTGAGTGTGACCAGCAGGACTGGATAGGTAGGCCTAGCTTTTTCTGATTTGAGGTTATATATAATATTCACTTCTTCTTGCTCCCTTCTCTACTTTTCATACCAATGTGTTTCACAATTATAGTTGCCAATCCTAGAAGTTTCCTGCTGCTTGAGGCCCAGCTGGTAGCTTACTTTGCCATTTTGGTGCCTTCAATGACCAAGGACTAAATGGCCAGGCACCTCGTCAAATGGCAACACTGCAGGACCTATACAGCTAACATCTGTTACCAGAGACACTGGTGGCAGAATCCCTGGGCTCAGACAGTCTCATATTGCATCTCCACAGAGCACCAGCCAGAGTTCTCTTTCTCTCATATTGCGCTGGAGGCTGAATCAGTGATGCTGGCCCTGAGATGGCTGCCCTGTCATGACAAGAGGTGGGACTGCTGAGTGCAACCTTGAAAATGTACCAAGCTGACAAACTGTGACTTTAGTTTGATCTATTTTAAAGTCAAATCTGTTGGGGGAAATTATCCTTAATTAAGGATTTCTGTTTAAGTGACAAGTAGTTAGGATTGTTAATTTTTAAGGTAAACCAAAAGAGGAAAAGTTCATTCTTCTGGTCTGGAGGAGAGATGAAAGTCAGTTACTAAGCCAGGATCTAATTATTTATTTAATTTAAAAAGACCTGTGTACTGGGGCCCCTAAGGGCATTCCCAGTTTTGATAATTTGCTAGAAGGACTCACAGGACCCAATGTAGAGTTATACCCACAAGCTAAGATTTGTTACAGTTAAAAAAAAAAGAAACAAAATCAGCAAAGGGAAAAGGCACATGGGTTGAAATCTGGAGGAAGCCAAGCACCAAGTGGAATCACACAAGACACACTTAATTCCCCATTAGGAAGATGTGACAAATGTGAAGCATTGTCTACCACAGAAGTTCATTAGAGACTCAGCATCTTAAGTTCCTACTGGGGGCTGGTCACATGGGTACCCTTTGTCTAGCACAATCAAAATTCCAGACTCCGAGGAGGGAGTATTCAACATACACCATATTGTTTACACAGACTAGGTGCAGTGAATCACACATCATTAAGAGGAAGTTTTATATCAGCATAGAGGAACCGTTTACCAGCCAAATTCTCAGGCACAAGTCAAAGACAACCTTGCAAGCAAGCCACTCACAAGACAGTCTCAGGCCTGATTTTTAAATACTTTTCTGTATACCCTACATCATAGCCAAGTAATTTTGTGTAACTAAAGCCCATTTAAATTAATGTGCAGTTTCCCTTCATGCTGTTGACGCAAAACCAGTGTTTTTAGAAAACTTGTTTGTGGAGGGAAGAGTTGTGATTTAGGAGATAGGAGCTTTGTCTTTTGAGACTCCAGTGTTCCAAATGGGCCAGAGCTCTGGTTTTTGTTTTGTTTTCGAATGGATACATTTGGAAGCGGTGTAGCTTCCCCTTATAATACACTCTACCGGCCATAGTAAACCTGCTACCAACCAATGTCCACAATATTCCAACCTCTTTCAGGCCAAATGAGTAGGAGAAACTCACCAACTCATATTTGCTTTAAGAGATAAGCTAGTCTGAAAATTTTGCTCTCAATATCTATGCCACCTACCTGTCATTTATAAAAGAAATAAAAATATAAGTTAATGCAGTTTTAAAAATACTGCAATTAAAAAATACTGCAATTAAAAAAATTTAAAAAATAGTTAAAATTAAAGCTAAAAAATGATTGCAAAAAAGCAGGCAACAGAGGCTTTTAAAGAGATGTACTTAAAACAATAAAGATATAAATGAAAATGATAAAACATTTATAGAAATGGATACATCTTAGGGCTATAAGAAGATTGTATAGATTACTCACAGATTTGTAGCACCTAGTACCTTGTTTGTCCTATAGTAATTGAATAATTAGAGTTACTCCCAAGGCTTAACAGCTTTTGCAAATCTACAGATGCCAAGCTGTCAATCTAAGTGGGATCATTCTGAGCTGGCAAATGTCTTGCTCATAGGTCTTGTCTGACCTATGACTGACTATTGTGCCTGAGGATTTTGATTCACAAGAGGAGTCCAGGGTAGTTCACCCTTGGGATTAGGCTAAATGGAAGGCCTGAGG